TCCCAGATCAACCCTGTGTTCAATCCACAGGGCGCAGGAATGAAATAGGGTTTTTAGGCAGCGATGCGTGTCATTCAGCATGTGTCCTGGCCCGTTTGTGTGGATGAGTGTGTGTTTGATACTAGAGGAGCAGTAAACTCCCCATTCTAAGCTTAGCTAACTTCCACTGGTTAATGGAGCTGTCAGGAGCGAGGCAAGATGGGACATGACTGGACATGGGGTAGCCTATAAGTGCCTGATTGCAAGCCAACATGTGCCTGACTGGAGTCAGGTAAACTAATTATACTTGGGTTCCTTAAGACCAATTAGTTGAGCAAATTAAAGACATGTTTAAGGAATAAAACAGGAGAGTAACAGAAATGTAAACCACTATTTTAAACAGACAACTTTCCATAAAATGCTAAAAGCTACAATTCTCACAGGACAATTTCATCACATAACAACCGTAATAAAAATACTACACCTTCATTGGGCTTTATAATCTCGATTGTACAACTCAATATCACCAGAACATGACAGTGATAAATAGAGATATTAACAGTGCTATAGTTTCATCAAGCCATCACTAGCACTACAGGTTTGTAGAACATCTCTGGCTGACATCGGACTACCTTTCATGCCTTAATTAATGTCTCCAAGGGAAGATCATTATACTGCAACAAGACTTACAAACTCTTTCTGAAATAATAAGTCCAGAGTTTAAAATGCAAATCATGCATTTTCACAATGCCAACAGCACTAGATTTTAGGTCAGATGTAGCAGTAAAACGTGAGAAACCACAACTTGATACCTCGTATGCCCTGCCATTTTCTTTAGCGCACAAAAATTCCTAAACGCACCAAAAGCGGACCACCCCTACTTGTTTGAAGCACGCCGCATGGACTGTTAACTCTGCCCAAAAGACAGCGCAGCGCAGGCTCAGAACAAATGCGTTTTCTTGCTGACTGGTCTCTATCACGCAACCACTAAACAGCGCTGTGAGATCCAAAGTGAGAAGCATTGGTGCAGAGGTCTCCGATACAAACCACAAATGTTTAAAGCCAGATGAAACCTTGCTGACATTCTGAACAACACTGACACGGAAAACAGGAGAAACAATGTGCAACAACAATCAAGCATTTCTATTTATACTAAATAAATGTTTTTATAGACTAGATACCATAAAACCATTCTATATATTATAGCTATTAGAATTTTACCCTTTAATGAGGATATATATGTATATATACACACATACACACACATATATATAATTAAAGGTGCAATAGGTGATTGTCTTCAGAAACATTTTTTGTTATGCTGGTTGAAAGTCTCTTCACATCCCGATAGCAATCATTAAGTTAAGTGGTCTAAATGTATTTGTCTGTATTTATATATTCTGTGGAAGGCGTAGGATCAAGAAATGTTCGTCCAATCAAAACGCTTTTTAATATGCTTTCCTACCTGCCTGTCAACGTATGTATTAGCATACCTCTGCGCACCTGGTTCGCGCAGACAAGATACGTCATCAGTGCATTCACGCACGCTGTGCAGACAGAGCGAGAGTGGCAGACAAACATCAACAACCCGATCTTCCTTCCTGGTATTGTAGTACTTTTAAAGTTTTCTCACCGGTGAATGACACATGATGTAGCCCAGCTGTTCCCAATCAGTCCTCGCGCCTGCTCTGCATATTTTGCATGTCTCGCCTAGTTAACACACCCGATTCAGATAACCAGCTTGTTAGAAGAGCTACGTGCATGAACTGTGTTCTGATCGATATGATCCCTACACAGTGTTCATTGCTCCCTACTCCCTGAGCGGGGGAAATCCGTTGAAGTTTACTTCACTTCGGAACATGGGCTGGAATTGGGAACCGCTGATGTAGCCTATTGTAGTAATGTTGTCTCTGGTATTCTGGTCTGTGAGCGTAAATGTGTTCAGGGGGCGTGGCTTTGGACGGTGATTGCAGGGAGGGTGGGACGTTCGCTTTCAGTGCTATCAGGCTAAAGTTAGCATTTTCCAAGATCTCCTACTGCACCTTTAACTTACCTGTACAATAAGCTGTTTAAAACGTGCATTCTCCTGTTCAATTTCGAGCATCCAGTAATATAATCACACATGTCTTGTGGAGCGCTTTCAGAGTATGCATTTATTTGTCATTTTAACTGTTTGGAAACGGAGCGTAAATGTGGAAGTCCTTCAAAGATTTCTTATCCTGTTGCGCCCTCTATAGGACCAGCGACTAGTCAACATCAAGCTTAAAGCGTCATGGCAGAGCATTGAAGTCGACTAGTCGGTGCAACCCCTACTGCATTCTATGACTGTGACCCTAATTGGTATGTGAGTTTGTAATTAGCTTGTAAAAGTAATGAACGTGAAAAGGCACCAGTGTCACTGAGGCTACGGTACAGTAAGCTTAGCGCTGGTGTAGCATAAATGCATAGAAGCTCTGTTCCAACCCCTGTGAGCTGTCTTGTTGTCTACTGCCTAAATAGGCAGCTACCTAGATACCCATTCTTGCATTAAATAAAATATATGTATAATTATTTATCTTGACTCATCTGTCATCTTGGATTAGTTTATTTTCACTGACTTTGTTGCAATGCATTCTTGCCTTCTCTGCAAAGTGTGCATGCAGTGTTGCCTCAGAATTTGGCAGAAAGAATGCTCTAATAAGGCAGCATAATGTTGGAACAGCCTTTGCATGTGAAGCCCACAAATGATGCCTTAAAATGTATAGGTAGGCACTAGGCAGCACACTAGGTTTTTACAGACATCTCATCCGGCATGCCAGGATGAGAAAGAAAATCAGAGAAAGAGACAGAATGACACACAAATAAGAAAGAGCAGTGTTTGACAAACACAGGGAGGGAAATGACACATTGATTTTGACTATCGATCCAGAGAACTGATGAAGCTCATGCACACTTATCGGAAGGCCTGCGTTATCTGCGCGCAGGTGGAGAGAAAGAGAACCGGTTGGCCTTATCTGTCACTCTCTCTCTGCCAGACCGACGTTCCCATATCTGACTCCTACTTTCACTCTAAAGATTTCCTTTCCCTCTTTCGTTAGCCTTATACAGATTTCCAAGGACTTGTTTTTTGCACTAGACCACAGTGAATGTGATGGACTGACTGACGTATGGACTCTGGTCTAGAGACTTCAGCAGAGTAAAGATTTGCTGATAGCTGGAAATCAGGTGTCAAGCATGGCATATACCCTTCAGCAGCAGAGAGGACGTAGGGAAAAAAAGATCACAGAGCAGTGTGTTTAAAAGTCACAGGTGGGTTGGCACTGTGTATTATAAAGGCAGTGTAAATAATCACGGTGTATTAACAGTGTTTTAAATCACAGCTAATTTACAAAGGAATGAAAGATTTGATCCACTGATTTGTCTTTAATTCTTTATCACACCGCTTTCACAGACATGCAAATACATGCAAATTTCCAAACTACATCCTCCTGCACACGACGTGCTGCACTGGAGGCCAAACCAGCCGCAAGAAAAGATGGGGAAGGAGAGAGAGAGAAGGACAGAGAAAGACCGCGTGAGTGGGAGAGATAATGAATGAGAAAATGAATGAAGGAGAGAGTGAGATGAGAGAATCTTTATGAAAAAGCCAAGGGTGAAAGCAGAAGCAGACAGAAGACAAGTGGCATGGCGCCACCACACTATACTAAAGTGCTAGTACTGTCCTTAAAAATGGCCATCTCATGCTAGACGGACTGTGGACTCGATCTGGCATACAGGATGTGCCCTTCATGTGCATTTACTGATGATGGAATATAATAACAGTGTAATAAGATGGTTATTACACATTCATAAACATGCACCGCTGCTTTAATGGCCAGAAAAAGTGGCGTGGACTATGTTTTTGAAAAATATATGGTTACAATCTTCAGATGATGGAGTATTTCCATGTTCAAGTCACTAAAGTGCCATATAAAATGTGAAGTAATTTCTGTGCCACAAGCATCACTGAATGAAATTGCAAAAATAAGAGAAAGTATTTACATGTCTTAAAACTACTAGAGATTTCTTTGGATGTACATTGAGCTGTAATGCTAAACTAAAGCACGTGTGTACAGTATTTGAGGTACAGCATGCCTGAGCAGAAGTGTTTCATAACTATATGAGTGTGAAACAGGAGCAGAAGTGAGTGCCACTGAAGTCAGACAGCTCAGCTCTATACAAGCACCTCAAACTACCTGTTAGTGCAATAGAAAATGAAGAAAGCGCGAGGGAGTGAGAGGCAGGGACGAGTGAACCAGAACAGCAGTGTTCCTATGGGAACAGGGAAACGGTGGACCTGACGTGGCTGTCACAACACCCTCCATATGCTCAGAGTCTACAAACCGCTTCAAGTTCATCACAAGCAGACTGCCAAGAACAAACCTGTGTGGTTTGATTCAGGAGTAAAAACAAATTACGTCAGGGCGAAGACAGAAGGTCACAGGATAAATAGTTGATCAAAGAATGGGTACAAATGTGTGCTTAGCGGGCTGTGGGATTTATTGAAGTAGTAGTAATTTTACAGGAGCACTGAATGAATACAATTATTTATTTTACAGTGAAATATTACAGTAGTAATATTTTTATTTTAATATTTTAACAACAATACATAATCACATTTTTAGTGCACACAGTGCATCCATAGAAACAAGCATAGCAAATTTGGACCTTTTAAAAACAACAAACAAAAAAGCATTTTTTTGCTAAAAAAATGCTCAAGAAATGGCACAAGCATTACATAACAGGAAGGAGAAAGAGAGGAAGTGAGAGTGAGACGGATAGAGAGAGGATAACGGGGAGAACAAATGGTCAGTGTTTCATAATAATACAAAACGGCTGCCATCAGAGGCCCTGCTGTGAAACAGTGAGGTGCATTTCAGGGCACATAGATTACAGATCCCAGTTAAAGCCAACGCCACCTCCGGCTCAAACTATCTGACCAGTGGCTCCACTCTCACTATTTGGGTTCTTGTATTAGATGCATGCGCATGTTTGTCACTTACCATTTTCTGGAGGTGCTTCTCTTTCCGTACGTCCACCATTACAAGGCCTTCTTTCACCAGACCCAGACCCACATCATCTTTCGAGTCAGCAAACTGCAGCGTGACGTGCGGGCAGACAATTCCACTGTATTCAACATTCAGCAGACACTGTGTGTTTTGAATGTCCCTGACCACACTGTCCACGGCGTCGGTCCGTGCGTCTTCCTGTGGGTGAGGTCATCATATGAGCATGTCACATATCCATCCATCCCAAACCAGGTTTAATTTCTACAAACTGCTCTCAACACCAACGCTTACAATTATACACACTATTGATAGACACTTCAAAGTCCTCAGTGTGTGCCGACTCCATCGTTCAAACTCTCCAGCTGCGGAGTTGCTCATTCATCACACTTACACACACGCTCTGTGATAACGATAAATGTAGATTTGCAAACAAAAAACGGATCAAAATACCTCCACACAAACACAATGTTTCACAAATGTTTGACGCAGGAGGTGAGAGATACAGATCTGATCTTTCTCGCTCTCATATACACACACACACACACACACACTTGCTCTTGTGAGCCAACCCAGTCTCCATGGCAACCTCAGAGCATGCTCCCCTTGGGGGGAGTTATGGTGGGGGTACGAGATACAGAGGCCATCCAGAACGAGAGAAAGAGACAGAGATAGAGAGAGAACAATGCGCTTACTTCAAAAGATGGACAAGATCACAAAACAACAGCAGTATTAACAGGGCAGGTGGCACGATGCCACACCTACACACACCTACACGCACAATCAAGCTCCGCATACAGACCAGGTGTGCTTACTTTCATATGCATTTCATCACACAATTGAACAACATGTAACTAACAAAAAGGCTTGAACTGGAATATTAGCATTCTACCATACTGCTTACTGCTAAGTACACGCAGAGTATAACTTAATAAAAAAAAAATAAAAAAAAATGTAGTATACTACATTTGTTACATCACATGACCTCATTACATGCATATTTAATTCAGCTAGTGGTGTCCAGTTTCCACAAAAATAATTCATGCAATGTAGTGTGCTCTTGTTGTATACTTTACACTTTGGGAAATGTATTGTATGGCTACTCTATGCAGAAAATTAGCATACTTTGCAGAAATACTCAGTAATACGGTAAGAATGCCATTCCAACCGTAGCCGAAACAGCTAAACCATCATGACTCATAATTCCTGTCTTTTATAAGCTGGATGTGACTCTAGATGTGCGCACATACTCTATGTAGGGGTGGGCGATATGGCAAAAATATATCATGATTTTTTTCAGGAAAATCCCAATTCATGATTTTATCACGATTCTTTTATTATTAAAAAATAAGAACAAATATACACATTAAAAATACTGATTATATACAAACTTTTATTTTTCATGTACAGTAGGCATATTTAGCAGTTCAAGAAACTGAATGAACAAATATAAAACACTATATACACTTCACTGTATAAATTATATATTGATTCTTATTAAAGCAACTCAAAGTTCTTCAGTTAAGAGCAGTGAGTGATGTTTCTCTTTGTGTTTTGTCGTTTTATTAACATTAAAGGGATAATTCACCCTAAAATGAAAATTCTGCCATTTACTCACTCTCAAGTTGTTTTAAACCTGAATGAGTTTCTTTCTTCTGTTGAACACACAAAAAGTTATTTTGAAGAATGTGGGTAACCTAACAGTTGCTGGTCCTCAGTGACCCACATTCTTCAAAATATCTTCTTATGTGTTCAGGACAAGAAATAAATTAATACAGGTTTGGGACAACATGAGAGTGAGTAAATACTAACAGAATTTTATTTTTTGGGTGAACTATCCCTTTAATGACAAGCGGCAACATGTTTAGTACTAGGAGTCTGCTGTCACCCTAAGACCTGCATGCATCTAATATACAGCCACGCATCCGTTTTTCTCTCAACTGTTTACTTTCAATTTAGACATAACCAGTTGTGTTTATATGTAAACCTTGTGTGTTTTTGACCGTATTAGCGCAATCAGACGCAAAAGATAACTTAGTCCAGTAATCAGGTGCTGTTTGACAGGCTTTTTAGTGTGCGCGCTTCAGGTGTACACACTCAGAAAAGCGAATGTCAGAACAGCAAAGCAAATGAAATGTTTAACCGGCAAGGCTTAAAAACACATGCAAATAATGTACTTATGTGATTGCGAATAAGTGCAGTGTCCCGTGAGTGTAACTCTACCGCTGAAGTAACATTTGAAGTGAATGTATGTCACGTTGTACAGTATATTGAGACGGAGGCACCAGAACTGCAACTGATAAAATGTGCGCTGTAGCATGATACTACGATATTTCTTCAAAAGCAGATTGTGGAGACATTTTAATCATCCACGATCAAAAATCGTGATATCGCACACCCCTAACTCTGTGTGTCCTACAGGACCCGTTTGAAGGCCATGTCGTGTGATGAATCACATGGGTTTGCGTATGAACGTGTTTGTGCAAGAACTTACATCCTGTGGGACCTGAATGAAGGCAAATGTGTATTCTGTAGCCTGTGGAAGAAGCGTACGCGTGCTGAAGGCTGGAGGAAGGGCTGCAAGACGTGTGGAGGATAATATCTCTCTCTGAAACGACAAGAGAGATCGTCACATTGTTGTGTTATAAAAGAGACTGCATACCTCTTTTATACATTGACTGCCTGTACAAGGTCCTCATTAAACGGAGGAGGTGCGAGTACAGCACAGCAGATAAAAGCAAAGTCAAGGATAACGCTTAACTCCTCATGTGTCTTTAGTGCAGAACATGTGAACGCAGCAGGCTAAAGAGGCTGGTTAGCACTGAGACACCGCAAAGGCTCGTTTCAGCCTTGAGAATAAGAAATACAGGCAGACAGAGAGACTAGAAAAAGGAAAAACAGACAGAAGACAGATGGAAGTACAAATCAAAGGCTTGTTCTACGTGGGGGGTTATACAGCAAATCTTCAGAGGAAGAGAGGCAGGACACACGTCAAGCATATGGTGGATATAGAACTATTTGGACACAATGTGTGAATGCCACTGCATTAAGATAAACCAGGTGACATTTAATCAGTACACCACAAAAAGTGACTCATAAAAAAAAGTAGTAAGTTCATTCAGAAATTCATACAGAAATTGTGGCTTAAGTGTCCAAATGCTGTACTGTATATTAAAGCAGATTCTGTTAAACTGGGGCACAATTGAAGATCTTCTACATTTTGTTCCTACATTGTCAGATGTAATATGAAATCTAAGTTATAACACTTAAACCAAAGACCCCCCAAAAAAGAGAGGAATTTAAGCCATAAACTTTTGATGGGGCATTAAAATAAAGATCTGTCCCTCAAAACAGTGTCCAGTGAATAAGAGTGATATGGAAGGCAATAAACAATGATATCAGATTCAGCACAATGCTCTTGCACCAAGGGTTAAGATATGCAGAACAAAGAGATGTGGGCAAAGAGAATAAAATAATGAGGTGGAGAGTCTGTGAAAAGAGAAGCAAGAGGAAGGCACAGGGAATACAGAGATGAGAGAAAAGGCTTGTTGTGTTAAAAATGTTCTATCAAATGACCACCTGCATCTTTTCTCTTGTGCTGACCTGGAGCTTTCCGCCCCGGGCACAAAAAAAGCAAAGCATGCTGGGTACTGCATCCTTCAAGCTACTTTTAAGCATACTAACATTATTTTCCTTGCAAAAATGCATTTATTGTAGATTTATGGAGAGGAATTGTTTTCCACATGTGTGACTGATGGATTCAGTGCTGGCTTTTGAAAGCACATGCAGTATTTTAAACACAATTCAGAACATTCATCAGTCAGCGCCTTTCTAGAGACGCTCTACTCAGGAAGTGCTGTGCTACATCCAGGTTATGTATCAACCTCCCTGCAAGCAGATACTCACATTTCCATAGTCGATGTAGTAAACGTGAACCTTTGCTGGAGATTCAATTTTCTCGATGCGAGCTCTGTACCTATGGAGAGAAAGAGAGACAGAGAAGAGAGTGTCAATTTCAGTCACTGATCAGAGGAGAAAAGAGTTCAGCAGTTCATCCACAAGCACTGGACAACTTGATGTAGAACGTCTGAACAAGAAAAGTTAGGCTTTGCCACATGGCACTTTGGTACCCAAGTTTGTACTGACTTTCAGGCTTCAAACTGCGTTTTCTTCATGGAAATGACTGAAAGGTGCCACACTGGGCACCTGATAAGGTACCAGTACTCAAGTATAAGTGACCTCCAATTTCACCTAACTAAAAACATTCACTTTTGTAAAGAGCAAAACACTAGTTTAGTGCCCCTAACTGTACAGTACAGGTGGATCTTTTATGGGTCAGTGGAGAGAGTTGATCTTGTATTCATAACCTTGCGTTCTGAAAGAGTAAGAAGCCTCTCATATTCATAAAGAGCAGTTCAAAGCTCTGCATGACACCTCAAACACAAGAGAAAAAGTCAAAGAAGAGTTTCTGTTCTCATCTAATCAAACTGAGACATTCCAACCCACTTGAGACCACTGCCCACTCCAGACCATCTACTTATGCTAAAACACCTCAATCATCCAAAAACCACCGCCAGATCCAGGGACCCCTGCTCTCAAATACGTCTTTCTGCTGGTTCCAGACTGATTTATCTCCTCCCTCCCTGCACAGACTTAATGAGCTCAGAATGACATAGTCCTGATGCATCATGGGAAAACACGGCCCCCAGAGCCAACTGAGATGCAGAGAATGTGCCTGTTAGCAGCATAAACATGACAACATGGTAAGAAAAAAAGAAAAGAAAAAAAAAGAGAATCCACTTCTCAGAGGCACTGAACAACAAAGAAAAACTTGTAAGCAATTAAAGGAGAAATTCTAGGATGGTTGCTGGGTGGAGTTCAAATGAGTTTTTAAAAGAGCAAGACGACATCAATGAAAACACCAGCAGATGCTTGAGTACTGAGTCGCCCCACTGAGAATGCAGCCTGTTCAGAGTCTATGAGGACAATAGAAGCTTCCAGACTTCCTAAAGGACAAAGAACTCATTAGAGCAGTCCAATGTCCTGCAATCTAGGGCAGATTACTCCAATATAAAATGCAAGTAAACTGAGAAATACCCATAACCAACAGATGGCTCACTATAAAACTATTTCAACAATGAATGAGGTTTAAGCAATCCCTGTAAAGATAGTGTGCCTTTTTGAAAAATGGTGCCTTTTTGCTTTTATTCTTTTTCACCAAAGTTATCTTCCTTAAAATTAAAGACACATCAGTTATCAACATCTAATAATATTCCAATATTAGACATTTTTCCTTACATTTTTAATTTAATTAACATTTTTTATGCAATTTGGCATTATATAATAATATCTGTGATTTAACTTTTGTCATTTATCTTTCATGCCATCTTATATAATTTACATTGTTATAATGATGCCTAAATGGATTTGTAGCATTTAAAATAACTATTTAAATAACTAAATATTTTAGTTTTTAATATTGGCCATTTATCAGTTATCAGCAAGAACAAAAATACAATTATGCCAGAATTTCAATATCGGTATTATTACTTGAAACATCAAATCACCTGCACACACTTGCCGAATCAGCAAGATGGCTCATCTTTACCTCTCAAAACTAGACAAGAACATCCTGCAGCTCTGACAAATAGTTTAATATATTTATTTGTTAAAAGAAATTAATAATTTAAAACGTCTATGGGTGAAACCAAGAAACTCAGCTTTTATAGCAGATGCCATTAAGAGATTTTTTTTTGGCTCTTACCATTCTCCGTCACCAAATTTTGCAATGCAGAAATCCCCTCTGCGCGGGGTAAAGGATCCTTCTACCGGAGGCTGGGCGGCTATCTCTCCTCGCATGCTCTCCATCAGGCTCTCCAGCTTAGTACCTGCACAGATGAGGATGACAAAAAAAGTGAACATCTCCATGCAATCCATCACACTTCCCAGCGAAGTCAGTAAATTTCAGGCTTGTGTTTCTTGATTTGGCTCCATGTTTGGAGAGCGCCAGAATACCAAGCAGAATCCTGATGGTGTGATTACATAATTTATAACATAACGGGATGATTTGAGAAGGAAGAGATGCATTAACTTATGACCGGCCTCTGCCAACATCGTTTCTCCAACAATGTAGCCCTGATGGCTCTGGCGAGGAAAAGCATAATATTTCAGAAAATACTAAATTACATTAATTTGTTGACAGCCAATGTCCATTGAGATTTTGTGGGGCCTAGGGTCTGTTGCAAATACAGAAATAAAAAATAGATTAAGACCCACAAATCCTCACCGCTCTAGCGCACTACATCTCGCTTGAGGGGTACGTGTAACCCAAGCAAGCTCTGAAATCAACCAAAGGCCAGTAAGGTTTTAATATACCAAAAAGGCTTGAAAGGCCTTTCTAATGAGAATGTCCACTACAGATATTTACTTTTTTTTCAGCCGTACTCTTGCAGCTGTTCATTCATTTCTCCCAACAACAGAGCAATCAGTGCAATCGCTGAGGTGTGGGGTTTGCTAGGGTACGGAAATGTGACAAAATGGCCCCACAGTCAGGCATGAATAATGTTGTAGGAGTGCAAAGCAGAGGGAGGGGAAAAAAAGAGCAAGAGCTATAATGTGCAACAAACACCAAACATTCCTCCAGGAAAGCTGTTAAAATAAGCCAACTAATGGGCCTGTCTTAAGCTGCTCATTTTCGCCCCCCTCCTCCGACGTCATTGGTGTTTTTATGATAACTGTTTGCTGGCATCAGAATATCTGCTTGTATTAAATGAAAAGACAAGGATAAAGAGAGGAGAGAGCGTTTAAAACATGTAGCGTAAATCTACATTCAAGCAACCTTAAGCCTGCATGCGGCTAATTAGCATGATGCCAACTCAAACAGAGCAGCGTTAGCGTGTGAACGTATGTTTGCATACGTCTGAGGGGCACAGGGGGTATTTAATGGCAGATTTCCAAAAGGGGTGTGGCTTAAATGCTCTATTTAATTGGCTAACCCACCAGCATCCAGCCTGCTAAACGGTTAATTAGCACATATGGGAAGACACGTGCGCACACACACACACACACACACACACACACACACACACACACACACACACACACCTCTCAGCTGATTCTCACACAGCAGAGAGATTAGCGGCGTTTTGAGGAGGCAGCAGTTTTTGAGAAGTTAAGGGGGGAGAACGTGGCTGTGTGACTGTGGGTAGAGTAGCGTGTCAGATGACAGCTGAACGTGCAGCCTTGATTTATTAAACTAATTTAAAAAGTTTAGCATTTTCTTCCCAGGCAGCAGGGCAGCGAGAGTGTGTTTCCCCGGCTTCGTTCATCCATGCCCCACTTCCAGCCCTGCGAGAGCTTGCTAAATAATAAATAAAGAGGGGGGTGTCCTCCGTACGAGTTATAAAGGTTTAATGGAGGCAGCGCATTTAACCCAATTAATCCAAGCAGCACTCAATTAGAACGCATAGACTGGGCAGAGAAAAAGTCTCTATTATAGACAATGGATGCTAATTAAAATGAATGCGCTGGCTTATAATACGTGTCAAAGAATGCAGCCCTCAATCCAAACTCTGTTGAAGGGATAATTCAGTCAAAATGAACATTCAACCATTATTTAATTACCTCGTCATTTTAAAACCATATGCTGTGTGAAACACTGAAGGAGAATCACTAAAAAACCCTCCTCTGTAGCTGTAGCTGTAGCTGTAAATCAAAAATGGCTTCAGACAACAAGTTTCACGCTTCATTGAGTGACAAAACACGACAACTAATGATAACACTTATGTAAGGTGGCAAATATGATAGGAAAACTACTGAAGGCAGCACAAGTGAATTAACAGTGAATTAACTAGTTAACCTTTGGTCTATTTGCCACACAAAACTATCATTTGACTTCAAAACATTTCGAATCAAATCAAAAGAATCAAATTCTCCTTTTGGAATGACATTTTTAATTTCTGGGTGAACTATCCCTTTAATTCACATGAGAAAGGGTTAAACAGGCACTCTTTAAAGCAGATCTGAAATTATTGTTTCAAACATTTATAAAAAAACTGAAATCAAAATAAATTGTATAATTAATATTTTAATTATGGAATGTATAATCAATCATTTATTATAAATGATTTATTCACATCATGCACGTCATTTTATTTATTTATTTTTTATTCACGTGCCTATACAATCTTTAAATCAAACTTCCCATCCATCTTGCAACAACATCTCTTCTCAGACTCCGATGATATATGTAAGGTCTCTGTCTTGTGAAACAGGCCCCCATAAGCTGTAAACTTAAGACAAACCTCTGCTTTGTGAATTCTCTCAGGTGAATTCAAAACCACTCGTGAAAACGAGTTAGAACTTTGAAACTTCATGCAACTCCGTCAACTCTCATTCTAAGAAACTGTATGTTTGTGTGTATGTGTGTTTTAGCTTAGTTTTGATGTAATCTAGAATAGCCAATAAAATTCATGTTTCATTTATAAAGAATCATTGTTTGGTGTCATATAATTTTAAGGTTAAAACCTTTTGCCAAAGATCCCTTGCTACCTAGCTCGTAGCTTACTTATAATAATTACTATAATAGCTTACTTATAATAATTGTATTGACCGTGGCCAAGGAACTACAAAGATTCAAGTTGTTAAAATATACTAAGAATCACCGGCTCGCTGGACGACCCTTGATTTAAAGTGTAAACTATCAGATTTGAATTCAGTTTTGATCAGGTTGACTCAGAATTTTCAGATTCGAGTCCTTTCAAAACCTGAGCTAGAAATAAAATGAATGATTAATTCCCTTATAGAATTAACGACTTAAATTACAGTTAAGTCACTACATATATGAAAATAACAACAATCCAACGATCAAATCAAGTCCCAACCTACTTTTTTTGTTGTTGTTGTTGTTTGAGAAGCTGTTTCATACGTCACAATAGTGAAGGAAAAATTACCGTAAAGTCTGTTTCCTGCTAACTTTAAGTAGTACTGTGAAAGCACCATAGTACATTAGTGGTCACTGATGGTACTTGGATATATACTTTAGGACATGAAAATGAATATTTACATTTGGTATGTACTTCAAAAGAACAAGACACTACCACGTGGTGAGAAAAAAAACTAATACCATGGTACTTCTATGTTAATCGGAAACTTAATAAAACTCTTGGGGAGACTGTCAACTTAAAAATGAATTTCTGTTCATGTGTTTTTGATCTAAAAGTATGCTAACAAGACCTGCAGTTGTCCATATGGTGTGGGTTCAGGTGTTCAGCCCTGCTTACATTCCCTGTATGCTTCATTACATCCTCCTTGGCTGGAGGATATAATGAAGGATTCAGCTTTAATTACGGTGGGGTCAGGTTCTCTAGCGCCTACTGTAAATCTGGAACACTCCCCTGACTGAGTAAGTGTGTATGAAAGAGACTGTTTTCAGTGCATCGTACACAGCTAGCTCCTGGTCAGCGTGTAACGTTAATTAGCACGAGCAGAACAAGTCTCCGGATTTGGATTCACCTCCTGCTCTGATGAGGGATGAGTGAGAGTTATAGAGGACATGAGGTGAAAGCTCACAGATGAGCCTGAGAGAGTCCACTATGAGATGAAAAGTTCCCTATTCAGATAGCACAGTAAGCAGGACCATCAAGGACTCTTAGCTAATGTAAATGTTTAATCTCTAAAGTCAAAGGTTCTCTACATGAAAAAAATGCCTTCCTCTCTCTCTCACACACACCAGCGTTATCTTTTTACATTTTAAATGACTTTTCATTTAAGCACTATTTTCCTATTTATTTCCCCATCCTTTTTAGTAACTAAAACAATTTAATAAATATATTACAACAACTATTATTATATTAAAAATAAGAAATCAACAACAACACTGCTGGAACCTTAACATTTCCATCTTCGCCATTTCATTTGAATCACTGTACTCATCACTTGTGTGGAGGAAAGACTCACAGGTTAAGCTGTGAATATTTATAAGAATGTACTAAAAATGTGAGAATCCTGTTCTGCAGGAAACGAGTTCATTTTAATGCTCTCCATCTCCGTTACTCTATATGCGGATGATTCACTCCTCACATATGACACACCGTCTTGACATTACATGCTATGAGGGATAAGCGCTGCCTGTATACATATAGCATAGCTGCAAAAAGTACTATAAATAACCCACACCTGCATTTATTTGCATTGGAAAGATGAATCTAACAATCACATCCGGTGGGTCAAACACTTCCACACCTACCTCACGTTTCCCACAATGCAACCAAGTGGGATCAACCTCTCACTCCGAGCTTTTTACACAATTTGAAAACAACAGCTGGAGAAAGAAAGAGAGAAACCCACATAGAAAAAGGAGCGATCCCACAAAGACAGGAGAGCATTTCAACAAATATCACGTTCATTCCTTCTCTATAGCCCTAAATTAACTGTTTACCAAGGAGAACTTCACTATTATTATGGCTAATGCTAAGAGTTGAAATAAGTAACTCATCCCACATGGTTTATGCTACATCCTCTTGGCTTGTTGATCAGAGGTGTGCTATTACTCTTGAGTGATCAGACTTTTTAGATTTTCGTCTGGCAGATGAAAGAGGTCGAAAAAAAATCACATTGACTTAAAAAGAAGGGACCTTCACATCTACAGACTGGGATATCAGAGACAGGGGGACTCTTTTGACTTAAATAATAACTTAAAACCACCTAGAAATGCCCTAGGAAGTAGCCTAGCAACCACACAATGTACTAAAGACCTTAGCAACTTCACAGAAATGCCCTCATTTCTTAAAATTTATTTAAACGTGCTGCTATGGCTGTAGCTGAGAGCAAATATGCAAATGCACAGAGAAGAGTGATTAGACCTAATATCAATGTTACTGCAATATTA